AACAAGATGGAAGTCAGAAAAGATGAGCTAGTAGTCCCGACCTCGATGTATATAACCTCAGCTGTCAGAAGACTAGACACACCATGATCAAGAAAGCAACAGAAAAACATCTCTTTTCAGGGTGAGAATAATACAGGAAGAATGGAAGCCCCTTCTTAAAGGGAAAGTTCTGTAGGAAAATGTATTAATGGTGATCCACAGCTCTCTACAGCTTTTTTACAACTAAGGAGAAAGTTGGTTTTTCATTACTGGTCAGCAACCAGTGGCCGGTGACCCTCACAATCTCTACAGTTCTTTAAAGAGAAATAGGAAGTCATGCTCTATTTAAAAGGGCAACCCCCCACTTCTAACAGTACACAAAGGAGTTGACAACCCTATTTCCCTGAAGAGTCTTCCTTCATAAAAAACCTCATTACATAAAACTCTCAAAACCTAGGCAAGTCTGACATTCTTCCAGCATAGTAAGATTTCCAAGGTAGAAAGAAGCTTTGGTTCTTTTCCAGGAAGCATGAAGCCTGTAAAACCTCCTCTTACAATGGGCTGGGGGGGAGTCAACAAAGAGAGGCAGGGAAACAAAGAAAGAACATCTGAGTCAGGAAGAATATATAAGTGGAAGATTATTTCTAAATCGAGGGAAATGTCAGCCTGAAGAGAGAGCTGGGGAAACTGGAGTGGGTAGATCACAGCGAAAGATAATAGTGTTGGGAGGAGGGATGGCTGAAAAGAGACAGCAGGAAAGAGCTGAAAGCAAGTTTAAAAAAAAAAACAAAACAAAAAAACAACCCACAAGAGGAGGAGAAGGCACTTAGCTTAATGGAAGTGGGAAAGCATTCTCGAAGAAAAGGCTCCAGGCAGGGGGGGAGAAGCAATGTACCCTCATAAAAGGCTCTTGGGAAGAGTCCGGCTCGGCCCACCACAAAGACAAATGAGAAGCTTAGAATAGTTCCCAAACCTTTATACCTTGTCATCCAGTCAAAATCCAAAAGCTCTGGCTGGACAACTAGACACCTCTCGATATTCCTACCCCTGCAACCAAGCCCAATGAAAAGGAGCTTGCTCTATTCGCCCAAAGGGCATGAACCCATTTCAAAACTCTTTCAGATTCTTCTTCAGGGAGGAGGCTGTGTTAAATCAAGTCCCAAAGCATCTCTAACTCACAGCTAACTGGCCATTTCCCCAACAACCAATATCTTTAACTTTGCTCGAAATCTGCCCAGCACAACGGTTATCTCCGACCTAGATGCCCCTCCAGGCTGCAAAGGCGTCCCTTGGATTGCTGCCGTCCAGCTCCCGTGTTCTGATGCCTGGGACTGGCCAGCTCAAAGGCCTTCTCCCCTGAAGTTCTTTCTCTTCTGTATCTGCTCAACAAATCTTCCCGAGAATATTTTCGGTCTTGAATACCTGATATCCAAGACCCCCCCCCACACACACACACACACACACACACACACACACACACACACACACACACACA